CTCTCTCTCCTCTCTCTCTCTCTCTCTCACCCACACACACACACACACACACACACACACACACACACACACACAAAACACAACACACCCCACACACACACACGTAAGTCATCACACACAGTATAACTTACCTAGGATAACCCAAAAAATCTAGACAAAGTGCTATACAGTGGATCTGTGCTCCAGTGCCCTAAATTAATAATAATAATAATAATCATTAATATTACAATAATACATATGTACTAATATTAATATTATTATTATTAAGCTATAATATAATAATCACGTCCACTCATTACTTACCTTAAACCTTAAACGGTCCAAACAGATCGACGTTCAAATTCGTAGTGCTACAAAAGTAGATCTACTTTTTTTTTACATATTTTCAAATATAAGAAAAAAGAATGTAGATAAAAGTTTTTTACATGTTTTCACGTGAAACAAAAAAAAAAATACATTTTTTACATACTTTCAGATGTTGAAAAAACGCATACAGTGGAACCTCAAATATCGAACTTTCTTCAGTCCAGAAGGCTGTTTGAGTGCCTTTACCAAATGAATTTATTCCCATCAGGAATAATGTAAATTAGATTAGTCCATTTCAGACCCTCAAAAATACACTTATAAAAGCACTTACAAAAATACACTTGCACATAATTGGTTGTGTTGGGAGCAGTTCGATTTTTGAGGTTCCACTGTATATACGTTTGGACCATTTAAGGGTTAAAATATCTGTAGTTTTAATGTAGAGTGAGAGGCGAGTAAACAAGATTAAATGAATAAATGAGAGAGAGAATGAGAATGTAGAATGTTCATGAGTTACGTAAACAAACGTTGTTGTTGTTACCAGCCCGGACACGAACTATTCCTGTTCACTGTCAAGCCGACCAGAAAAACATCTCATATTTGTTAATTTATATGTTAAGTAGCATGTTTATTACATAATTTTGAAAAAAATTCATAGATGGATTAAGCAAAATGTCTATATTAACGTTTTATACACATTTAATGCACCTCAGTGATTATTATTATCATCATTATTAATATGGCACCTTCAAGACCAAGTACACTCTTAATGAGTGGCTCTGAGACAGACAAGCAGACAAAGACAGACAAGCAGACAAAGACAGACACACAGGTAGACAGAAAGACACACAGGTAGACAGACACACAGGTAGACAGAAAGACAGACACACAGGTAGACATAAAGACACACAGGTAGACAGAAAGACAGACAAACAGACACACAGAGATACAGACAGATATACAGGCAGACAGATACAGACAGGTTTATGTGCAACAGTGAAAACAAATAGAGAGTTCGAGAGTAAGAGCCTTTCTTGCCACAATCTCCAGCGCAAGATTCAGACTTCATCTTAGGGGCCATGGTGAAATTTACTGTCCAGTTAGTACAGTTAATACAGTATGATGCTGCTGATAGGGCAGGGTTACTCAAACTGATGCTGCCTGCATGACACATTGCCCCCGCGAGTATTGTCAAATATTGTACAGTGGTGTGCATCAGCTGGCCCAGCCCAGCTGCCAGATGCACGGTCGTAAGTCGAGTGGACGTATGTCGAGCAGGTCGTAAGTCGGATGGTAGGTGTACTTGGGAGTTGACGTGTCGGCGGATGGATTTATGAAGGATGAGGTTAATCATGGAATTGATGAAGGAAAAAAGGTGAGTGGTGCATTGAGGTATATGTGGAGTCAAAAAACGTTATCTATGGAGGCAAAGAAGGGAATGTATGAATGTATAGTAGTACCAACACTCTTATATGGGTGTGAAGCTTGGTTGTGAATGCAGCAGCGAGGAGGCGGTTGGAGGCAGTGGAGATGTCCTTTTAAGGGCAATGTGTGGTGTAAATATTATGCAGAAAATTTGGAGTGTGGAAATTAGGAGAAGGTGTGGAGTTAATAAAAGTATTAGTCAGAGGGCAGAAGAGGGGTTGTTGAGGTGGTTTGGTCATTTAGAGAGAATGGATCAAAGTAGAATGACATGGAGAGCATTTAAATCTGTAGGAGAAGGAAGGCGGGGTAGGGGTCGTCCTCGAAAAGGTTGGAAGGAAGGGGCAAGGGAGGTTTTGTGGGTGAGGGGCTTGGACTTCCAGCAGGCGTGCATGAGCGTGTTCGATAGGAGTGAATGCAGACGAATGGTATTTGGGACCTGATGATCTGTTGGAGTGTGAGCAGGGTAAAATTTAGTGAAGGGATTCAGGAAAACCGCCTATTTTTATATAGCTGGACTTGAGTCCTGGAAATGGGAAGTACAATGCCTGCACTCTAAAGGAGGGGTTTTGGGATATTAGCAGTTTGGAGGGATATGTTGTGTATCTTTATACGTATATGCTTCTAAACTGTTGTGTTCTGAGCACTTCTGCAAAAACAGTGATTATGTGTGAGTGAGGTGAAAGTGTTGAATGATGATGAAAGTATTTTCTTTTTGGGGATTTTCTTTCTTTTTGGGTCACCCTGCCTCGGTGGGAGACGGCCGACTTGTTGAAAAAAAAAAATATATAGTACGTCTTACAAGCCACTGTGTTTGACGTATATATAATCATAAATTCTAGCAGCTTCAAATCAAGCAGGAGAAAGCTGGTAGGCCCACATGTGAGAGAATGGGTCTGTGTGGTCAGTGTGCACCATATAAAAAAAACCTGCACCATGCAGTGCATAATGAGAAAAAAAAACTCCGACCAATTTTTTTTATTAAAATTCCGAATTTGTGGTCTAGTTTTGTATAGTATTTATGGTTGTATTCTTGTTTTCTTTGTCTCATTTGATAGAATGGAAAACATATTATAGAAATAGAGGTGATTTTGATTGGTTTTACTATGAAAAGAGCCTTGAAAAGGAGCTCAAAGTAGGGGAAATGTTTGATTTTTACCGATGTTCAAAAGTAAACAAATGATGTCATTTTCCAATAAATGTCCAAGTAGCCATTCTAATATGCAGTCATAAATGGGTTGACATTATTTATGCAATTATTACAATATTGCAGTAGTCTGCATAACAGAAAATCTTCTATTTTTTGTTTGAATAAAAATTCAAAATAGAAAGCAAGAGTAATATCAGAGGGGCCTGGAGATGTGACTGATGAACAAAGAAAATGTTATTTTAGAGCCAGGAATGTCTGCATTGTTCATTCTGGACCCTATTTTGAAATTGTCGTATTTTTTAATTTTCGTGAAATTGGCCAAATTGCAAATTTCTGACCACGTTATTGGATAGTTGAAATTGGTAAATGGGCAGTTTCTTGTACTCAATCGATGGAAAAAAATGGAGTTCTAAAGAAATGGCTATGAGTTTGGTCGACTGGAACAATGGAATTAGCCGAAAATAGGGCTCAAAGTGAGCGAAATCACCAATTCATAAATATCACCAAGGTCGCTAACTTCGTGAGTGTAATTCCGTCAGTTTTCCATCAAATTTCGTTCTTTTGGTGTCATTGCAATCGGGAAAAGATTCTCTCTCTCTTTTTTTTTTTTTTCAGAAATTTTTCGACACGAGGAGACACCTCAGGATTTGGGGTTGTGACAGTCAAGGTGTTAAAAATCAAGGGTGGGTTGACTTTACGATGCTCTTTGGTGCGGACACATTATGTGCACAGTTACCATATACAAGGAGCTCCATATGATCCTCACTGATCTCGTCCTAACAGCTGGCTTAAGTGGTTCCTTGTTAGTTATCTGTTCAGGTTGCCAATGCACTCTACTGGCCTTGGCCCAGTGTACAGTGGTACCTCGAGTTTTGAACAGCTCCCAACTCAAACAATTATATAAGTGTATTTTTGTAAGTGCTTTTGTAAGTATATTTTTGGGGGTCTGAAACGGACTAATCTAATTTACATTATTCCTTATGGGAACAAATTCATTCAATATCAGCACTCGTACAGCCTTCTGGAACTAATTAAGTTTGTAACTTGCCACTTGTAGTTCTATCCACCCTTGTCACCCAAAAAATCCACCTCTCCATCCCATCACAAGGATGTTGAATTCTGTTGGTGCTTGGGCCATGTTTGGAAATGAATGGATGAATGCTGAGTGAAGACTGCTTTTTACAAGAACATAAGAACATAAGAACGAAGGAACACTGCAGCAGGCCTACTGGCCTATGCGAGGCAGGTCCAAGTCTCCTACCGGCTTAAGCCAATGCACACAACCTAGTCAGTTCAGGTCACATTGACTTAACAGGATTTGTCACTTCGGAAAGATTCTATGCTTGCCTCTCTCGATGTGTGATTTGTGATACAAAGGCTGACCATGGTGCACATTTTAATTGTTTGACAACAGCTTGGGCTTTTGTGCTTAAGTCATGTTTTTATAAATACTGGGATGCCTGTAAGAACCTCAGGGAGTTTTTCAGGAGCCTTTGGACAGTGCCCTCTTAATAGGAATTTAAACAGCTGTAGATTATTTTAACTTGATGTGACAGTATTTATATATCTTGTTTGTTTTGTTCGTGCCAATAGTTTTTACTTTTGCCACTTCATTTTTTGCTTGAATTTTCTTGTGTATTTTGTATTCACAGTATTGCTAAGAGCACAAAGTGATCTAGGTCAAAGTGCTTTTCAACTCTCAAAACTTCCTTTCGTCCTGTGACTGTCCATGGAGAGTTTTTCTTTTCTGTTTTTTCTTTCACTTAGTGTGTCAGTTACTACTGTTTCTGTTATTCAGCCATGCATAAGTTTCATGTCAGTTCATTTACATAAACTTTTCTTTCAGTATTGAAAGTGTATCTTACTGTGTTAACTTCATTCAGTTTTGCAACTTTTACCATATTGTTTTTAATTATAATTTAAATTATAATTTAATACTTTGCCTTTTTTATTTTTTAATTTCTTTAACTGTAAAACTTAACTAATTATTCTGATTATATTTTGTGTGACATTCTATTGTACTTCACATACTAAGCTTCATATCCATAGTTGAATAAGATTATGTGATCATTAAGTAAGATTTTGCTTGTTTTAGCTATAATTATATTGTTTTCCCTTGCAGAATATAAATCTCACATACCTAAAAGATGCCTGATATCCAAGAACTTTGTAAATTCCTCTGCAGTCAACATGAAGGCAAATATAGATAAAATGGATGAATCAGGGGTTGAAAATCTTGCCAATGTAAATCTGAATGAAGAAATAAGCGCTGTAACTAAGTGTAATAAGAATAGGAAAGAAGAGTTTAATAATTCTTTACTTGATAAAGTAAGTATAGAACAGAATAGGAGAGTGGTTGTTGAATAATCAAAGAATCTGCCATAAAATATCCTTTTACTTATTACTGTTGTATTCTGTTGATCTAGTGCTGAATGACTCTGTTGGTTTTAGCACTTTCAAGGAATATAATAATGTATTTTTGTCAGCACACTTCCAGTAAGACTGCAGCTGAATGAATGATAGTAAATGCATTTCCTTTTATTTCTTTTTTTGTCACCTCTGTCTTGGTGGGAGATGGCTGTTGAGTTAAAAAAAAAAATATGTTGTCTTGCTTCCTTTGGTTGTTTGAGGATGAGGAATTTCCGTATGCAGGACTTTAGGGACATTTCAGATGACCTCAGTGGTTTAACCCTTTGACTGTTGCAAGCCCATTTCTGAAACTGTCATTCCATGTCAAAAAATATTCGGAAAATAAAACAATTATTTTTTCTTACCAAAATGTTAGAATTATTTTGTTGAGTGTTTTAATCCTAATTTTTTTTTTTTTATGATCATTACTTATTGAGATATAGAGGTGTAAAGTTGGCAGAAAATGAGCCATGTATGGCAACAGCGGCGAATGCCACTCACCCGGTAAACTTTTTTGTTACTCCCATTTGAAGGTTTCTTGCTTTTTCCACTATATTTTTTCAGGTAACTTATGGGGCCTGTGAGACCAAAGTAAGGTGCAATGTACATATATACACTTGTTGTATACAACACAATAAGCTCACAAACATAATTATCAATAGTATATTGTGTACAAAATTTGTTTATACAAATGGTACAAACGGCAGTTTGGAGGGGTATGTTGTGTATCTTTATATGTGTATGCTTCTAGACTGTTGTATTCTGAGCACCTCTGCAAAAACAGTGATAATGTGCGAGTGTGGTGAAAGTGTTGAATGATGATGAAAGTATTTTCTTTTTGGGGATTTTCTTTCTTTTTTTTGGGTCACCCTGCCTCGGTGGGAGACGGCCGACTTGTTAAAAAAAAAAAAAAAAAAACGGTACAAAAAATTTTTTATTACTATTGTTCTATATATACAAATGTACAGTCACTGGACATGTTCCTAGAAGTTCTGCCACTTGTGGAACTCTTTGAAACCTGGTTTCATACACAATGGTGTTTTACACTCCTCACACATAAAACGAGTGTCTCTGCATTTTTGTGGGTGTTTTTTTTGTATGTGCATAGACAAAACACCTCGTCTGAGCAGTTTTCTTCAAAGTAGTAGCAGATAGTTGTGTTAGGTAATTATCCTAGGTAAACGGTCCTGTCATCATTCCTTCCTACCTACCAAAGTTTCTTTCTTTCTTCATTCTTTTTTTCTTCATTCTTTACTTCCTTCTGGTTTCTAAAATCTTTCTTCTTTCAACGTACCAGCCGTATCCCACCGAGGTGGGGTGGCCCAAAAGAAAAAACTGAAGTTTCTCCTTTTAAATTTAGTAATATATACAGGAGAAGGGGTTACTAGCCCTACATATATATAGTATACATATATATATATATATATATTATATATATATATATATATATATATATATATATATATATATATATATATATATATATATATATATATATATATATATATATATACATATATATAGTCACTGGACACTTTCATAGAACTGCTATTATCTTCAGGAAGTTTGTGTTGTGTGTGTGTGGACTTCTAAATGTGCTGAGTCAGGGTCTAGCAGCTGTCAAAATAACATATTATATAATTACTCACTCCCCCTACCGCCTGTCAACACAGTGGAGTCCGAAGCTTGCTTCTCCACCATCCTTCCTAGATAAATATCTTTCTTTCTCCTTTCTTCTTCTTTCTTCTCTTTCTTTCTTCTTTCTCCTTCTTTCTTTCTTTTTCTTTCTCTTTCTCTTTTTTCTCTTTCTTTCTCCTTTCTCTTTCTTTCTATTTCTCTTTCTCATTCTTTCTCTTTTTCTCCTTTCTCTTTTTTCTCTTTTTCTCCTTTCTCTTTTTTTCTTCTTTCTACTTTCTCTTTCTTTCTTTCTTTCTTTCTTCTGGTATCCTGGGCATTGTTTTCAGTCACAAGCTCCTCAAAACCATGAAATTCATCTTCACTGACACTTCCATCTGTGTTAGATCTATCACTTGAGAAGAGAGGAGGCCCAGATTTGCCGGGGAGTCAGATATATTCCTTACCGCTAGGCATGCTGAACAAGGACTACAGAAATGGCATTCCCATAATGCACCACTGGCTCCCCGATTTTTATAGTGCACACACTAACCAATGGAGACCCATTCTCTCACATATGGGCCTACCAGCTTTCTTCCGCTTGATTTGAAGCCGCTAGAATTTATGCGCATTAATACGTTGGAAACATTGGTTCATAAGATGTACGTATATGTATGGCCGAACAGCCAAAGGGTTAATATTACTCTTGAAGGAACACCTAGAGCATTTATCAAGATATTTTACTGGCAGGTTTGGTTATCATAAAACTGAAGTAAACATTTGTTTGCTTGTATCCAGGAACAGGAATATTTGTAAAGAAAGAGGGATCATCATCTTTTGACAAATCGACCGCATCCTACCAAAGAATGATGGGATACTCTCATCAAAAAATGATGGATGCCCTCACCAAAAAAATACAAATGAGAGTATGGAAGGAAGATGACTAAGATGCTTCATAGATACTAAAATGTGGTAGAAAACAGGTTTATAGAAAGTGCTATTACACTTATATGCAGTAATATCACAGTAAGCAGATGATATCACAATATGCAGAAAAACCACTGTGAAAAGAATAGTGAACTTCCAAGCGCTTTCGTGATTTCTCAGATTATCATGGAACTATTGATCTTTTATTTTTACAGTTCCTTGATAATGTGAGAAATTATGAAAGCACTTGGAAGTTTACTATTCTTTTCATAGTAGTTGTTCTGCACATTGCACTTATATGTACTTTAAAAAATATATTTGTAAAATTGGAGCTGAAACAACCTCATTTAGGTATTCAACATATTTCCTTATCATCTAGAGTTAAATTCCTCTATTGCAGAACCTATTAAGAATAAAGTTCTCTAAGGTATACTGATCACCTGAAAATGGTTAAGACAGATTTTTTCTCCTTGACAGCATAGAATTTGCAAAAGTAATTTTTTTTTTTTCAACGAACTGGCCGTATCTCACCAAGGCAGGGTGGACCAAGAAGAAAAATAAAAGTTTTTCTTTTTAAATTTAGTAATTTGTACAGGAGAAGGGGTTACTAGCCCCTTGCTCCCAGCATTTGTGAAAGTAATATTGTAAGTAAATTATAACTCTGGTATAATGTTTTGTTAACTAGAATTCAAAACAATTTTGTTATCTGTTAACTGCCTGCCAATTACCCTTGCCTTATTGTTCACCAGGCTGCCAATGTCTTTTGAGTGTTTTGAATCTACTCATGCTTTGAAGTCTCAATTGAAAACCCATTTCTCTTCTAAAGTCTATGATCCTGATGATCATGTCATCATTCTTGACTATAAGCTTTAGAAGCTTATGATGACATTTCGGTCTGACTTGGACCATTTACAAAGTCACATGAACAGAAAAGAGTGAGGTAGCCAGTATATACATAGGTGAGTGGGTTATTTATGTATTGTTCCAGTCATGGTATTGTGCCTTTTTGTTCTTTATAAGCTTTAGTATTTCTTCATTGCTTTTGTTGCATTTCTGACTTGGAATGTGAGTACTAGTGAACTTTTTGAAAGAGCAGGAGCTCAAGAATAACAAAATCCTTAGTAGTAGTTGTAGTAGTATTAGCAGCTCCTGTTGCCACAATAACCAAAACAGCAGTAGTAGTTGCTGCTGCTGCTGCTGCTGCTGCTTTGGTTGTTGTAGTGTAAGCACATCTCCGGAAAGATAGTGATGGAGAGAGTGATGGTGAAAGTGTTTCTTCTTTTTTTTCTGGGTCACCCTACCTCACTGGTAGACAGCCAGTGTGCTAAAACAAAGGAAATGAATATATTCAAGTTGTTTCCAAAATCCTCAGCATTTTCTTTGCTTTGCCTTTTAGTTTTTTATTTCAGGTTCTAATGCATTAGTTTTCATCTACCAATCTTCACTTGATAAATTCCTTTAAGGAAATTAATTTTTGCTGCTATATGTAGGGGAGTTAGTAGATGGGGAGAGGGAGGTATTAGGTAGATGGCGAGAATATTTTGAGGAACTTTTAAATGTTAAGGAAGCAAGGGAGGCGGTAATTTCATGTACTGGCCAGGGAGGTATACCATCTTTTAGGAGTGAAGAAGAGCAGAATGTAAGTGTGGTGGAGGTACGTGAGGCATTACGTAGAATGAAAGGGGGTAAAGCAGCTGGAACTGATGGGATCATGACAGAAATGTTAAAAGCAGGGGGGATATAGTGTTGGAGTGGTTGGTACTTTTGTTTAATAAATGTATGAAAGAGGGGAAGGTACCTAGGGATTGGCAGAGAGCATGTATAGTCCCTTTATATAAAGGGAAAGGGGACAAAAGAGATTGTAAAAATTATAGAGGAATAAGTGTACAGTGCCTGCACTCTGAAGGAGGGGTGTTAATGTTGCAGTTTAAAAACTGTAGTGTAAAGCACCCTTCTGGCAAGACAGTGATGGAGTGAATGATGGTGAAAGTTTTTCTTTTTCGGGCCACCCTGCCTTGGTGGGAATCGGCCGGTGTGATAATAAAAAATAAATAATAAGTTTACTGAGTATACCAGGAAAAGTATACGGTAGGGTTATAATTGAAAGAATTAGAGGTAAGACAGAATGTAGGATTGCGGATGAGCAGGGAGGCTTCAGAGTGGGTAGGGGATGTGTAGATCAAGTGTTTACATTGAAGCATATATGTGAACAGTATTTAGATAAAGGTAGGGAAGTTTTTATTGCATTTATGGATTTAGAAAAGGCATATGATAGAGTGGATAGAGGAGCAATGTGGCAGATGTTGCAAGTATATGGAATAGGTGGTAAGTTACTAAATGCTGTAAAGAGTTTTTATGAGGATAGTGAGGCTCAGGTT